GTCCTTTTATACCCTTAACCTCACAACCGTCTGAGAGGGCTGACTTGTTAGTATCATCCGTTTACAGTTGGGAAAACTGAGCTCCAAGGACATTTGCTGAGGGCAGAGCTCTTCCTTCTGTATCTTTCATTTGTTTAGAAAAATCGGGCACAGAATAGGTATTGGGGATATAACAGTGCAGATATTTCAGGGAACTAAATATTTGTGGCTTGAGTGACATGCCATATGAACTTTTGAGAAGAAAATATCATTGAGCAATCAGCAGAATTTCACAATGCCTGAGAGTCCGGGAATGTAAGAATTAGGCATGTGTTGCACAAAGTCTCAGCTGGCAGTCCCCGTGACTAGTTTCAGCTCCACGTCCAGTAGCATCTTTGCAATTAACTCCTTCTTTTCCTCTCCACCTACAAGGCTAATGTTCAGAACTCAGAGGGACATTGAGATGGCATATCAGCCAGGTGACACCTTTCAGGTCAACTCTTCTCTTTCTTTTCAGGTACTTTGTTGGCCTCATAGTCTTGCCTGGAACAGGAAAGAGCCACTATTTCCCTGGCATCAGGATTTCTAGTCCCTGGCCAAAGCTTCCTGCCTATGCAATAGCAGCTGGGAGGGGCCAAAAAAATTCTGGTGTGGCCACACCCACTGGTGGAAGTACAAATAGTGAGATTTGGCATTGGCTGTCAGAGCCTCCTTGCCTTCACCATGAAGTCCAGTGGCCTCTTCCCCCTGGTGGTGCTTCTTGCCCTTGGAACCTTGGCACCTCGTGCTGTGGAAGGTTCTAGAAATGGTGAGTTGGAGTCACTCTGGCCCAATCCTGGCTATAGGGTGGAGTATGTCCTCTTTTCTAGGGTCTGACCTCTCAGCTTAGTTTCAGGGTGGAATACATGACTGGCTGAGCTGCAAGGTCTCTGTGAGGGCTTCTGAACACTTGAAAATGCTTCTGTTATGTAGCCATGCTGTCAGCCCAGGTCCCACTCTCTCTCTGCGCCCATGTTCCCTCTCTCTCTCTCCCCGCCCCTCGCTTCTTCTTTACTCTCTAACCCTGTCCAGTCATTGGTCTCTAACTCTCTCTGGTTCTTCTTTGTGTTTCTCTGTTCTGCTCTTTAATCTCTGTGTTTCTACCTTTGGCTTTAGTTCTCAACATCTCTCATATTGGCTCTATTTATCTGTGTTTATCTCTCTCAATCTTCATCACTCCCAGGCTCTCTGTCTGTCTTTGTGTAGCCCTGTTTTTCTCTGGGGTGGGAGACCTTGACCAGAAGCTCCCTGTCATTTTCCTGGGTCTGAAACTTCTACTGTCTATGTGCAGGTTAATCAAGCCTGTCACTCTTCCTGGAGGTCAGACAGGCATGTCCCTTTCGATTTTGTGGATGGCCACTGGGGTGAGGATCTTTCTTCCTGGAAAGTGGTGCTTTGTTCAGGAGTCATGATGGCTATTCAACCCTTAGCTCCCTCCTGACCTTTTGACCTTCTCTTCAAAAGCTTTGAAAGCTGGAGCCTGCCCTTCTAAACAACCTGCCAACTGCTTGAGATTTGAGTCACCAGAGTGCCGGAGTGACTGGCAGTGTCCAGAGAAGAAGAGATGTTGTCCTGATTCATGTGGCTTAAAATGCCTGGATCCTGTTAACATCTCAAAGCCAGGTAAGGAGGTTGGGAAGCTGGGTGGATAGGAGTAAGTCTGAGAGTGAGAGGAATGAGCATCCAGAGGGACAGGACTGGGCAATAAGTCCTGCCAGGTCTCCTTGTCAGTCAGTCACATTGTTCTAGGCAGGAAGTTAGTCACTTGGCTGGTGAAACAGCCAGCTTGTCAGGTCTTACAATTAATCATCTGGGTATTCAGATAGCCAGGCAGTTGGACTACTAGCCAGCTGCTACTTTCAGGAGATGCCTCAGGGAGGAGCGGTGGTGATGGCGATGGAGTAGGAGATGATCCTCCTGCCTAGACTGGAGCAGGGGCTTGGTCCAAGAAGCAGGAGGGTGGCATCTAAAGCACAAGACCTCTGACCATGGCCTCCCCTCACTAGTGAAAAAGAAGCCTGGGAAGTGTCCGAAGGTCTATGGCCAATGCATGATGCTTAATCCCCCCAATCACTGTGAGTCGGATGGCCAGTGTGATGGTAACTTCAAATGCTGCATGGGCATGTGTGGGAAAGTCTGCATTACCCCTGTGAAAGGTAAGCTGGGGTCTGGGGCCGACTGAACTCTCTCCCTCCCGTCCTCTCAGCCTCATGCTGTGGAGGTCCAGGCATATGGGCAGAGGGACTCCTGATCCCTATTCCAAGCAGAAGCTCTGCTTAAATCCCTTATCCTTCGGGAACAATGTTCCTCAGTTTCCAGGGCAGGGATTTGCATAAGATTACCTCAGTTTCCCTATCTGTAAAATGGACATAACAGAATTGAAAGTGCTTTGTAAAGCACCACGTGCACCAAGTATTTATTATTCAGGTTAGTTCCATCATGTTGTCTGGGGTTAAAGCCTAAAGGATCAGTGAAGATTGAGGATAATCTATTTTAATGCCCTGAGTTTAAAGTTTTACAGGAGACTTGTCTCCTGATACCAAGACTCTTTCAATGATATCACCCCCTTGCTATTTTCCCTTTCTCAGAGAGGTCCTTGGAGGGTAAGAAAGTGGAGATGTTTTGGCCTGTTCCTATACTGAAGCTCATATCTGATTTTTTTTTCTCACAGCCTGATGCCTGCCTGATTTCTACCATTGGGAAGAAGCTCTGGAGTCCTAGTCTGTGTGGTTTGGGAATTCCCTTTCCACTCGCAGGCTTGGATCACTGGGCACTCAGTGGTGAGGATTTGGTTCCACCACCAATATCCTCCTTTGGGTAGGGGCTTAGCACACAGGATTTCAGGAGATGTCAGTTGTTCAGTGAATAAATAAATGAGCATACTCTCTGTACATCTTGTTTCTGTGATTCATTGGAGGTGTGAGTGGCTATGAGGGAAGGTCTGAATATGAGACCTCCCTCCTACAGATATAGAATGGGAGGAAGTGGCTTAGGGGCTGGGCAGACTTGAATTTATATCATGAGTCTGAAAGTGTCAAATGCCAGGGGTTTGCCCTAGGTCCAGTTGCCTATCTCACAGAAAGTCTATCATTGAGATAATGGGTATTGCCAGGAAAGAAAGGTTGGTGTTGTTTTTCTTTTCAGTTTTTGTTTTTTTGTAGATGACATCACCTGAGAAACGGGAAACAAGTCTCAACTCTGTCTTGCGCCCCCTCCCCCATCAACTATTTAGGGGTTTATATAAAACAGGAATTAGGGAGGGGAAAGGAAGGCAAGAAGGAGGGGTTGGTCAACAGGCAGCAGATGTGTCTCATTGTCTGAATGTGGTGATCTGGAAGGGTTTTTCCTTGTTACTTTCTGGGAGGCCTGATGATTAGTTTCCTGAGAAACAGATTTGAATAAGACAAATGTAAGTTTCTCAGGCAGTTCTGTGGGAAAATTGGGCTGGTTTTGAAAGTACTGGCTTTATGACTTTGGACAAGTGACTCTATCTCCTAACGCTCAATTTCTTTATCTGTGAAGTGGCAATAACAATCAGTTTCTCACAGCATTTGGAGCTTTGAGGGCTGCATTATGTGTGTGCTAAATAACAGTATTCTGGGCCACTGCAGGTTCCCCAAAAACGATGACAACCTGCTGTTTACTGTAGCGATTTTGAGTTTCTCTCATCTCCTCTCTTTCCCAAGACATTATTTCTTCTATTTTAAGATAAGAGTATTGCTGTAATAGGTCATGTTTAAGACATGCTTTTGGCAAATATTACGTGAGGTGCTGCGTTCTTGACTCCACACAGGAAGATTAATGAAAACTCGATTGCTAGAGCTGAGGATAAGGCAGAGGACCTGGCGCTGTGCTCTATAGACTCTAGAGGCAAGACGACTCCATTAGATAAGATTTTTAAAAAGATAAAATATGTAATTCAATCTTTTCCTGGAAAATGTCACTGAACTAAGAAAATATCCCTGACTTCTTTCAACCAATGCTTCAAAAGCAGTAACTGGACATACTCAATCAACGGTTCAATGAAAAGGGAAAAGAGGGAAAGTCATTTTATTTATTTTATGAATGTGATAGTCATCCTCCAAGTTGACCTCTAATAATCCCTGCCTCTTGGTATTCACACTCTTGTGTAGTCCCATCTGCATTTTTCCATGGTTGGTCTGTGTGACCAATGAGATAATTGCAAAAGTGGGAGATGGTTATGTTCTTATGAGACCAGATAATACAAAGTTTGCAGCTTCCATTCTGGGGGTGTGCTCTCTCTCCTTGCTCAGTTACCCTGGAGCATTCTGTTTTCACGTCCTGAAGACACTCAGGCCATCTGTGAAGTGGTCACAGGAAGAGGAGCTAACACCTCTGATCAAGAGCCTGTGAGGAATTTGAGACCCACCAGCAAACATGAGTGAGCGTGTGCAATGACTGCAATCCCAGCAGATAGCTTGATTATAGCCTCAAGAGATATTGAAATAAGCTAAATTAGTTAATAAAATCAAACTGCTAGCAAAATAATAGTATCAACCAGCTTACTCCATTTTGTTTAAAGCTTCCATCTTAGTTGGTTGCCTGACCTAAGAATCACTCCTCAATGCTTACATGTGATTACGGTAATATTCCCATGACCACAGACCCCCCAGCTTGTCCCCTTTGGGCAGGTTGTGCTGACCATTTCCTGCTGACTGTTACAAAACTCCTTAGCCATAAGTTCCATGTAATTGTATGCTTTGTTAACTGAAATCAAACGTTATGCTTTGTAAAATCCCATTGTTACATTTTCATATTTTATTCTTATATTCTGTTAGTGACCTAACCAAGGTAACTCACAAGAAGAATTATTGTGTAATAATTCTTCTACCTTGTCTCTATTTAACTAGTTGCCTTAAACTATATCTTGCTGGCAGAACTCCAGGGGCTTTCTGGGCTCCGGCTATACCTGAGACATAAAATTAATAAAAATTCCCTGACAAAGTTTCCATTTTGGTTGCCAAGTTGTTAGTTAATAGTTGCTATGGTCACTAAGTTGCTATGTAGCCAATACTGCAAGTTTTTCTGGCATTTGCCTGCTCTTGACCCCCGCATTAATAAAAAGCTCTAATTAATTAAACTCAGCTTGCTGATGTGACTTCTTCTCGCTTATTTGGTCATAGCAATACCTTGAGCCAGAGCTACTCAGCTAAGCAGCTTCTGGATTTCTGAACCTCAAACTATTTGAGGCCAATTTGTCACACAACAATTGATAACTAATGCAATACATTTAGTAAAAATTTGATACTACAACCAAATATAGATAGTAGAAGAAAAGATAACTCTGAGCCAACGTCTTCTTCTATAAACATAGGTGTGGAGAGCTTAAATAAATATTAAAAATTAGAATTCATCCAGGTTTTAAAGCTTTCATAGAGTTCAACGTGGATATAAATTTTTTAAAATTAAAATTAAGGATAGAAATTCATCCAAAAAAGGAAACCTACCTGAAACTCTGTAATGAAGTCTACATTAACTTTAATTTTCAGAGGAATTATCATTGAAATCAGAAACAGAATAAGGATTACCAGTATTTTTGAACAATGTATATGGTACACAAAACTATGCAATAAGATGAAATATAGGAATAAGGTATATAAGATGGGGAAGATATAAAATGACCATATTTACAGACAGTGTAACTTCCTAATTACCAATGCTTTAAGACCTCCATATCATTGATAAAAATAAGATTTGTCAAAGTTGTTGAGTGTAAGTCCTATACAAAATTCTGTAGCATTCTGTAGCATTTCTATATATCATCTATAACCAATCATCTATAACCATCTATAACCAAACAAATCCTGTAGAATGCGTATAAATAAACCCCCAAATTGTGCCAGACCTTCACGGATTCAAAAAAAATTAACCAAAGGTATAAAATACAAACTCAATAAATAAAGAAATAATGTTCATGTTTGGGAAGATTTAATAAGGTAAAGATGGCAATCTTTTTAAAATAATTTTAGGTTCAATGTAACTGCAGTAAAACCCCCAAAAGATTTTTGAAAATAACTTGACAAAGTGATTCCACAGTTAATGTTTTAGTATAAAAGTTGAAGATGAGCTTATAGAAGTTTTAAAAAGTACAAGAATGGAGGCTAGTGATATCAGATATCAAGACATGCTAATGATATAATAATTAATGTAGTGTGATATTGGTACAGGAATGAGCAAATCATCTAATGGAATAAAATAGAATGTGTCAAAGGAAATCTGCATTTGTGGAAATTTGTTCTATGAAAGGGAGGGATTTTTACAACTGGGTAGGGCAAAGCTCAAACTAGTAATGAAAGAAACTGGCTTCTTTATTTTTCTTTTTAAAGTTCAAACTAACAACTTTTCTTGAGTTTAGCAATGCTCTCTAACATAGTTATTTGATTTCTGCTTATTCTTTTCAGCCACTCATTTTTAAAAATTTATTTTTTATTTTTAATTGGCAAATTGTAATTACACATATTTATGGGGTACAATGCAATGTTTTGAAAAATATATACAGAGTAGGATAATTAAATACATGAATTGACACATCCATTGCCTCACATACTTTTTTTGTGTGCATTATTATAAACTATAGTCACCATACTGGGCAGCAGATCTCAAAATTTATTTTTTCTGTCTAAAACTTTGTGTCCTTCGACTAACATCTCTCTTTCCCCACCACCATCAGCTTCTGGTAACCACTATTCTATTTTACTTTTAGGAGTTCAACTGTTTTAGATTCCACATATAAGTAAGATCATGCAGTACTTGTTTTTCTGTGTCTGATTTATTCAATTTGTATTTCCCTAATGATTAGTGGTGTTGATCATTTTTTTCATATTCCTGTTGGCCATTTGTATATCTTCCTTTGAATAATGTCTATTCAGGTCCTTTGCCCATTTTAAAATCATGTGGTTTTCTTGTCACTGAGCTGTTTAAGTTCCTTATATATTTTTAATAATATAACCTATTTGAGCATAGAGTTCACAATTGTTTTTTCCCCAATTGTGGTTGTCTCTTCATTCATTGTTTTCTTTACTGTGCAGAAGCTTTTTAATCAGATGCAATCCCATTTGTTTATTTTTGCTTTCGTTGCCAATGTTTTGGGGATCAGATAAAAAAAAATCATTCACCAGGTTAATGTCATAGATCTTTTCCCATATGTTTTCTTCTAGTAGTTTTACAGTCTCAGGTTTCACTTAGGTTTCACCTTGAGTTGATTTTTGTATATAGTGTGAGATAAGGGACCAATTTCATTTTCTGCATGTGGATATCCAGTTTCATGAACATCATTTATTGAAGGACCTGTCCTTTCCCCATTGTGTGTTCTTGGCATCTTCATAAAAAAATCAGTTGACTATAAATGTGTGGATTCTTTTCTGGGTTCTTTATTCTATGTTATTGATCGATGTGTTTGTTTTTATGGCAGTACCATGCTGTTTTGATTACTATAGCTTTGTGATATAGTTTGAAACAGGGTAGCATGATGCCTCCAGCTTTGTTCTTTTTGCTCAAGATTGTCATAGTGAGCAGTATTGGAATTCCCTTGTATGTGATATGCTTCTTTTCTCTTGTTGCTCTCAGAATTCTTTCTTTGTCTTTAATTTTTGATAGTTTTATTATAATATGTCTTGACAAACTCTTCTTTGGGTTGAATCTGATCTTCTTATACTCAGATATTTATATCTTTGCCTAGAATTGGGAATTGTTCAGCTATAATTTTTAAAAGTAAACATTCTGTTCCTTTCTCTTTTTGCAACACTATTATGCAAAGGTTGACTTTCTTGATGTTGTTCCATAGATTCCATAGGCTTATTTTATTCCTTTTAGTTATTTTTTTCCCTTCTGACTGGATAATTTCAAATGCTCTTTGAGCTCACTTATTCTT